CAGGAGACTGTGACTCCTTTAAGCTCTGATTTCATTTTTTTTTTGGAACTTTTCATATTTTATCAGAAACACTATTTTCCAATATGCCTTCTGTGTAGTTCTAAGAGTAACCAATAAGTATTTGCTCATCTACCTTCCTTACTTTTCTGTGAGCTGCTGAAGGACAAAAACCATGCATTCATATCTCCATTAGAAAGCCACTATATCTTACTATTATCTCAGTGGTATTATTTCAATAATAAAGTAATTATATACACAGTTGCCTTGCACAAAGTAAGTTACTGTATTCAATGGCAACTCAAGAAATAAACATCTCCTATACAATTTCACTTTTCTGTTAATCACAAACATTCCCTATGGATGCTGTCACATGGAAATCACTGCTAACTGCCCCTTAATCCCCATTCTCTGCTTCTTTCAGACTGATGGTGGCATTTTGGACTAGGTCGCCGTATGTTCTGGAGGTTGTCCTCAGCATCACAGGATATTAGCAGCATCCCGGCCCTAGTCATGAAAACCAAAAAAAGTTCTCCGTGCACTGCCAGTGTTCCCAGGGAGAGCTCATCCGCACCTGAGAACTTCCATTCTACATCACAGAAACGGCATTTGTGAATGAGTCTGATGCCAAGTTGAGTTCTTCCCAGTGGATTGTCAAAAGTCATGTGCCTGCCTCAGTCTGAATGCGTAGCAGGGAGGCAGGGAGTTGTATTCAGTCAGGGATGGAATTTCATAAGTAAAAGAAGACAAGTAAGGATATGCAATGAATGATTTAAGGGTCATGAACCAGAAGTCAAGTATTGAGAAACTTGAAGTCAGATAGACGGTGGCAGTCAGCAGATAAATGGGTGGAAGGTCAATGAACGGAGGTTGTTTGGAAACAAAAAAGTCATGACATTAGGGTACTAGAAAGCAGAAAGTCGGGGAACAAGAAGGTACTGTCAGTTGAGGGGTTGATGTTTGAGACTGGAGATTTGGAGGGAGAAAAGGTGTCCTGATAGACACCTTGAAGTATTGTGAAGAGCAAATGAGACAATTTTGTGAGGCACGATGCTGACCATGGAGCTGCAGTGCCCCAATCAGATCTCCCATCCAGAGGGTCCGTGATAGGGAGCACAGCTGACCGATATAGCCTGTGAACAGTGAGCGCACACTTACACCTGGCTGCTGTCAACTACCGACTGAACAGAGAAGGAGTGTCCGTGTTGACTATTCGTAAGCATCCCAACCATTGTCCTGCTCCATCGGCCCACCATGTCTTTTCTCAAAACTGTGCTTTTCCAAACCTTTCTTGCTACTCTCCTTTCACAGGTGCAGGATCAGCCTGATGGTGAAAAGGTGCCTCTGGATGACCATTACTTCTTCCTCCTCCTCTGTTCTTCAGGGGAATTTCCCCCAATTAGCCTTTCACACATTTAATCTCATCCTGATACCTGCTTCTCATGGAACCCAAAGCTCACACAAATATTGATACATGACACATAATGGGTGCTGAATAATTATTATTTTGATGCTGTAATTCATATATCCACCATACATATATGCCTTTCATAATATTCTAGTGAATGTTTTCAGGCAAGTTTTCATTTTGTTTGTCTCTTTCCACTGAACCACAGTGAAAGGAATGTTCTCCATCTTAGCAAGAAAGGAAGAATCTTGTCCCACCCCAGTGGTCACTACAGAAACAGTTAACATCTGACTTGACTCATGTGATGGAGCCAGGCAAAAGGGACAAATGGGAGCTGAGCAGCTGAGAGCGAGGCAGATGAGAGAGCAGGGAAACAGCCACTGTGATTCCCTTCTGGATGTCCTCTCATCAAAACGTTTTAGTTCATGTGACAGAAATTGCACCCTCTTTGTAATGATCTGGCATCTGAATCAACTTAAAATGACTCATCTCTGAGGAGAGAGACTACAGCAGAATGTATGTAGCCAAACTGTCTCTTCCCTTTTCAAATGCAAAAGTGATATTTGTCCCCCAAATTAATTATCACAGACAAGGTCTGAAAAAGACCTTTTATTGGTTAGTTGTCATTCAGGGATACTGATAACTCTGACATTCAGGAGGAGAGCCCTTTTCACATTAAATAAATGGGCCAGGCTCACAGCAATAGTCATTCATCCCACACACTTTTGTTGAGCATCCACTCCAAGCCAGGTTAGTGGGTCTGGAATAAAACACGGACACAGAAAGAGCAAGTAACAGAACAGACTGTTGACCTAGAAATTAAGACTCGAATTAAGTTGTCTGGGCTCCATATAGGAGTGTCCGAGTTCAGTATCTGGCTTTGGCTCCTGACTCTAATGTTCTGCTGAAGCATACATTTGGAGCAACAGTGATGGCTCATGTAACTGGGTCTCTGCCACCCATGTAGGAAGCTTAGATTGAGTTTCTGGCTTCTGGCTTTGGTCTGGCTCAGCCCTGAACGTTGCAGGCATCTAGACAACGAACTAGCTTTTTATCCCTTCTCTCCTATTCTCAAATATAGTCAAGTTCTGCCTTCTAAATTTTTAATATAAAAATTCAGGCATGCGGGCAAGCCGGCAGAACAAATATTAAAGTTAGACCTGATTTCACAGAGATCAAAATGGTTATGGACTCAGTTTTGATAGCTTTTATTCCTTAAAGGGGATATACCACTAATAAATAGTAAAACCTAGATTCAAGTCATATTCCAAAGTCAGTATTCCTAAAGATCATTCTGAAAAACTAAACCATTCACACACAGTAGCTTAAGCAGGCTCTTTGGAGAGTGAAAGAGACCTTCACAGTAAAATGAACAATGTCTTGAGACAGGAGCCATCATCCCCTTTCTTTTACTCATTAAAATGTGAATTTGACTCATGGATTTAAATTTATACTGTTAAGAATTAATCTTGCATTTTTTACATTTTTCCCTAAGTTGAGTTTGCCCATTACAGATGCAAAATCAGAAGTAACTGAATGACTAGCTGGCTACACTCCGAATCATCAAGTTTGAATTGATCAAGAGAAGAGCAGTAAGACTTGTAGCAATGAATGATGGCTTGGAAGTTATCATTTCAGTCCTTGTCCCCTCGGCCAAACACACACGTACATATTCACTCACGTACATGAACACACACAGAGTGTACACTGAATAATTAGGTGATAAAATTTATACAGGACTGAAATTTCTATTTTCGTCAGTATGAGTTCTTTCAAAGCATGTAAAGTTAAAAGGATGCACCTGTAAATATTTCTGAACCCTCATGCCTCCTAGCAGGTGTCTCTCATCCTGGCTTATCTTAACATCATTGACTTGTAAACTTCCCTCTGCAGGTTTCACTTTTCCTGTGGAAACATTTTCATTCCTCTGTATCACTTAAGAAGCAACAGAATCTGTAGCACAACATTCCAAGCCTTCAATCATCTGCCACTTTGTTTTCATTTTGCCTTTTGTTCTCTTTAATACAACATTTTTCCCCCACTCAAAGGCTGTGTGTTTGTGTGTGCTCTGAGCTTTCTTGTCCTTTTCGCTTTTTCTCTGAGTGGTCCTTCTCTTTAGGACCACCATACTGAGTTTTCAAATCAAATATCCTTCAAAGCCCAGCTCAAAGACCAGCAAAACCTTTCTAGACTTGAAAAATTCCCAACTAGAAGTCACCTCTCTGAGCTTTTTCTCTTCCACCTTCTGTTGGAGTTGTGTGCCCTTCGTCTTTTCCCAGTGAACTGTCAGTTCTGTAAGGCAGTGCCTTGCTTCTCACTGCCACAAGAGCACATTGTCATGAAACATGTGATACCACTAAATCAACGTATAGGAAGAAGACTGCCTTCTTGAAAAGCATGTGTTTCTAAACTCTGTTGAAGATTCTAATTTTTGTATTTTGTTCTTGTTCTGTGGCTTTGGTTTTGGTAAGATGGCCCAAGAATTTTAAAAATTACTTTGTTTTTAAGGTAATAAAACATAATGACTCAGAAAGACCGCTTTTAAAAATAAGTCGGAATATGTTCATTTTTTGCTTAATATAACTGATAAGAACTGCCTGTAAACTTTCCTTTCAATCGCTATAAAATACTGGCTTCAAAGTCAAAGATTTTCTTGCATTTTATCTGCTTCATTCCCCAGATGCAAAAGCCAGGGCCAGAAGCTGGGAAGGCAGTGCAGTCCAGGTCTCCCATGTGGGTACCTGAAACTCAATGACTAGAACCTCATTGTTGCACTATCAGGAAACCACACTCAGAAACTAAAGCCAGGAATCAAACCCACATGCTACAATACAGAACATGGGCCTCTCAGCCCTCACACCAAACACCTGCTTTGAATGGAAAAGCCTTGAGAATTTGTTTCATTAATCCCCCCACCCCATTCCACCTGTAGTCTTTGAGGAAAAATATGTCCAAGGTAAATTGCACAGAATTTGCCGTTTGCTACAATGTCTGTTTAACTGGCTGTGTCACTACTACTTCATTGTAAGTTAACCTTGTGTTTTGTCTCCAGAGGCAGTGTAGCACAGTGGTTAAGACACATGGCTTCTGCAGTCAGACTTTCTTCTTATCTCAGCAAAAGTTACTCAATCTCTCAGCTTCTTCTTTTGTAAAATGAGAATAAGGATAGCATTGATTTCACAGAATTTTTGCCAGGATTTGATGAAATCATAGGCAACAGTACTTTTTTTTGAAAACTGAAGCAAAAGATAAATGTATTTAACTTAATCTCCTTTTGAATGGAATAATCCCGACAACTGAATGCTATGTTTTCACCATGTTTGAAATGAGCAAAGCTTCCCAATGTTTCCATTCTCTGGCCCTTCACCACTGTGCAGTGAAGAGAATATTTTTGACGCTTTGTTCTTACAATGTAGATTTTTGAATCACGCCTCCATAAGTCTCATCGTCAACACCTACCCTTTCAGACCCATTCTCCACGCCTGGCACAGTAGGCACACCGCATTGCACTTGTTAGGTCAGAACCGCCACAGTGAAATACAGCAATTTTTACTTGAAGAAACAAACTGTTTTTGCCATTAACCAAGACACATACCACTCTTTCGAATTCTTTCCTCCAATAGGTCTGTATGTCCAACTGGAAGTTTCTTATTGAAAATCTCAGCGGAACGGAGGAACATAGCTTCAACCGCAGACCCTTTCAACAGAGCAATCTGGTCTTCATGGTCCAATGTCTGAAATCCTGCATACAGGTGAAAATCCAATCAGTATCAGAGAATATTGTACTGGTATAATAGTATTTCATCATCACCCTTAATTAAGCATTTCCAAACAGCAACTTTGTAATTTTTATTTTACTATGGAGTAATCCAGTTTAGCCAATAAAGATCTATTGCATTCCCTTAAATAGAAGCTTTTACTTTCACTGCGTAGAATTTATTGAGCTACTTGGATAACAGCAGATATCAGGTTTATTCAATATGTCATAGTAGTGACAGACTGATTCAGATGAAGTTGGAAGTAGGCAGCCTGTCTCTGAGCCATTATTTCAGTCACACCTAGTGGGACAGAGTCAACTTTGCAGAATGGAAGAATTCCTAAGCCAGAAAAATCTTTATGTTCATCCAGAGATCGACAGAGCTAGCTGACTGACTCATGAGTCATGAGGCTATTTGGAGAGGGACTAACATCTCTGCTTGCTGCCATCCCCTAAAACATTAAGCCACGGAGGTATGAGCTCAAGTCTATGTGAGAAACATGTGTAGAATAGCCAACCAATAGAAACACGACCAACTCACATGGCACCACCCCCGATAGCATCTCCTGTATTTCCTTCTTCTTCTCCTCATTGTTTGTGCTTCACCAACACAAGCTTGCTTTTGGCTTAGGAACGAGGAATCTTCCCAGACAGCCCCAGTCCTCATTCTCTCACTGCAGTTACATTTCTGCCCCCCGGGTTGCTCTGCTTAAAATAGTGCTCCCCAGCATGACTCCATCCCCTACCTGCTTTATATTTAATCATAGAACTTATGATTATCCAACTTGCCTGTCATCTCTACTGGAATGTAAACTTGTGGGGAATAGAGACTCATTCCATTTTGTCTCCTCTGAATCCCCAGCAACTGGCACATATCTGGCACCCAAGATACATTTGTTGGGCAACTGTGTGACGGACTGTCTGACTAAGTGTGTGAGAAACAAAACACAAGCTGGTGTGCATGCTGTTACACACATGAATACAAATATGTATAAATAATGCCACCTGGATCTCATTGGCTTAGAAAACTGAAAACAACATGGGAGCTTTAAGAGGACTATGCAAAGGATTAAGAATCAGTGACATGGAATATGCATCATGGCGCAGCAGGTACATCACAGATGTGATTGAGCCCCAGGTTCACTTCGGATTCAACCTTCTGCTAAATGTGCCTGGAAGACAGAGGGTGATGATCCAGGTTCGTGGGCTTCTGGCACTCACTTTGGAGAACCAGAAGGATTTCCTGGACCCTATGTTGGCCATGGATCAGTCTTGACTGTTAAGGGCATTTGGTGAATGGACCAGTGAATGGAAAGAATCTCTCCCTCTCTCTCTCTCTCTCTTCAAATAATAAATCTTTTAAGAGAGAGAAAGATAGAGAGAGACTGCTAATATTTCAACAACTCTATTGAAGGCAGAAGCCATGCTTTCTTCCTCTCTGGGTCTCCAGTACCTTGAACAGTACCAGTTACAGGTGATGCTCTGAGAGCTTCAGAGGGAAAATCCTGAAGGTTTTTTTTACTGCCCTTTCACCATTGATATTATGTAACTATTATTGCTATTTGTAACAAAATGATCATTTTCTTTTCAAAGTCTTTTACTTCCTTCTGTATTTTTAAAATTTTCTCTTCTGCTTTAATCATTGAACAAGTCTTACTTATATTTTTTCTTCAGGAACTTGGCAGGGTATTGGGAATGAAGATACTTAAGGTATCGCCATTGCTCTCAGACAAGGGACATTCCTATAAATCAGACTTGTTGGCTTCAATTATTTCTTGGCTCCAGATCAACTGACCATTTGAACTGAAAAGTCTTCACCCATAAGTAAGTAAAAATGTGCATTTCTCCTTTTTAAATGCTTCCCATCCCTACAGTTTTAACTGTTACATAATGTTGCTTATGAGACCAATTGCCTTCAGTTTAATGAGCATATAGCTTAGTTAGCATAACTTGTCATAGCTTACTTAGCTTCACTTAGTATATAACAAATTAAGTTTCTTTATTCATGAATAAATTCATAAATTCATTTTTCTTCAGGTTAGTGTATAGTGATTTAAGTTTTTCTTTATCAATTAAAATATGAATATTTCAGTAATAGTGAAAATTCTTGCCACATTTTGTCTGGTGCTATGTAGGCTGATCTGTTGGCAGCACATTTAACAAAATAGTAGCACAATATCAACAAAAATGGCAAATTAACATGCCTAATTAAAATCCTATTTAGAAACTAGCTTCTACAATTTAATAATATAATGCTATGCCTATACAATGCATTTACTATACTCATCTAGACCAAGGGAAATCTAATGTGTAAAGAAACACAGAAATAATGTAAACCTATTGGCTTAGATATTATTGATAACATGATAGAACTTAATATTGAAAGATAAAACTCTTGCATTTCAGTTTTGGTACTGGGACAATCAGAATGGCTATGGGAGTCTCTTCTCTCAATTCATCCATGCAATCATGCAACAAGCCCATCAATATTCAAATCTCTCTTAAATTATTCCCTTACTCCCACTACTATAGCTTTATTCCAGGCTCTGCCACCTGGACCCACGTGGTAGCACACTAAGTGGTCCTCCCCACTCAAATCCATCTTACCCAAATCTGATAGACAGCTCTCCTCAGTGTTTATCCACCAATAGGGAAAATTAACTGCAAATACTCCAAAGTGCATTTTCTGACTCCAGCATTTCTTGCCTATAGTAGTTAGACATATTTGTTGATTTTCATTTATTTATTTTGGAGGTGGAGAAAGAGACAAGGGTGTCTTTGATCTCATGGTTCACTCCCTGCATACCATGCCTGACTGCGCCAAAGCAGAGAGGTGGGAACCGAATCCATGCTCCCCCTGTGGTTGGTAGGACTCCAATTACCTGAACTATCAGCACAGCACCTTGGGGGCAAACATTGCTAGGAGTCTGGAGTTATGAGCTGGGGGCCAGGACTGACATGGCAGTGTGAGTATCTTTATCAGTAGGTCAAATACTTGCCCTGATTTAAATCAGTTTGAAGATGATTCCCATTTTACAATGAAAAGACTTGCCTTCCTCAACAGAACAATATCTCACCATGTGGAAAGGGAAATGATGACATGTAAAACTGGCTGGCAATAGGAATACCGGTAACAGATACAATCTCATAAGATGACTACAGAGTAGTTAAAAAACCCATATATACTCAATAAGAATTCACTTTGAATGTTAAAAAGAAAAGTACCTGGAAGCTTTTTTGTGAACTCTACGAGAACCTGCACATGACTGGTGGCCATTTCTGTTAAAATGAGAAAATTTTCTTCTGCACTGAATTCTTCTTTTAACTAAAAAAGCACATAACAAATATGTAAGAAAGAAGATACATAAATATAATATAAAATAATTTCAGCAAAGAAAAAACAATTTAGGTAATAAAATATAATGCTCTGCCTTATGGTTCTCAGATCTTTGGAGAACAATTAGTATTAGTAAGTTAGACTTGGGACTTCTTACTCCTACTGTTTAATATTGCTAAAAAATTTATATATATTTCAAACTTATTCAGATACAGATCCCATTTCCAAGATAAATAAAATATTAACATCATTCAACCTATGAAATTTCAGATATTATACATACAATTTTATTTGTTATTTCCTGAGGCATCCTTTGTTTGTTATATGAGTCCGTAATATAATGTAGAAGATTCTGTTGATCTGGGGTGAGTTCAGTTTTCTCCTACACTGGCAAGAAAATAAAAGGTGTTAGGGAAGACAGTTAGAAGGCATTCTTCCTGTTGCATTTATCTGGACTGGGCCAATAGCAGACTTGTTTTTGAAAGACCCTAAATATTTGCAAGGAGCATGAGCTCTAATATGGTAGGTCATTGTTTTCCCTGGGTCCTTCAACAATCTGTAGCACATTTTGCAAAACTTGTAACTGTATCATAGGGATTTTTAAAAATTCTATCTTCATGTATGTTTGGAAGCAAAATTCTGGATTTGAAGATTGCTGAGCTCATTCATGTAAAACTGCAGGATCTGATAAAAGGAACTTCTTACATGCAAAACAGTGACTCCACGTAACAGTATTCACATAGAGCAGAGTTTGGTAACCAAACTGTCACCTATAGACCATCCTGGTTTTACAAATAAAGTTTTAATGGAACACAACCATTTCTTTACATAGTATCTATACTACTGTGGCACTAAAAGAGTAAAGTTGAATAGCTGGGATGGAGACCATATGACCAAAGCCAAGAATACCTGGTCATTTACAGAAACATGTTTGGGTGGACCTAACAATGGAGTCATCGGTCTGGACAATTCAGATCTCAAACATCTCTTTGTCTTCAATAGGATCGTATTGGATCGTATAACTAATGAAATATTATGGCAAAATCATGTTTTTATATAAAATTGTTTTTATTAGGTGAAAAAAGTAACATATTTGAAAAGCTTTATATGGATGAAGTGTTCTTGGTCAATAGTATAAGTATGGATAAGGTTGTGGCTTTGGCCTTCTATCCAATAGCCAGCTAAACTTTCAATCATCCTGTGGATTATCACAATGTGTTTGCCTATCATTTCAAAGAATAATCTTTTGTCTTTGGTTGTTCAAAGAGCTTTCTGGGAATTTTTGAATATCCTGGAAGGGCTTTTTTATTTATTGGTTCACAAATTTTTAATCATCTTGTTTGACCCAGTGATCAGTACAACTTCACAGTCTCTATTGGGTTCTTCCCGAAAGGACCCCCTTCATTAATGACAGGGGGAAAAAAATCCATCATCAAAACACAATGGGAGTGGGGAGAGAATGCGCATTTGGTTTAACAGTTAAGAACTAGTTAAGAGGCCCAAGGGTCAGATCACTCCATATTAGAATGCCTGAGTTACAGTTCCAATTGTGCTTCTGATTCCAGCTGCCTGCTAATGTGTGCTCTGGTAGACAGCAGATGATGGCTCAGGAGCTTTGGGTCTCTGCCACCTGTGCAGGAATTGAGTTTCTGGAATCAATTTCAGTTGAACCTAACTCCAGCTGCTGCTGGAGTCATTTGAGGAGTGAGCTGACAGACAGAATCTCTCTCTGTGTCACTCAAATAAATACATTTAATTTTTTAAAATTTAAAAATGCTTGATTGAAAAATCCTCACCATACACACCAAAGCATTCCCGAACACCACCACTAGGTATTAGGAGTGGAATGGAAACAAGAAGAACTTTGACATTCTATACTGCAGCTGTTTGGTTTTCTACACCAAAGCATACGTTCCTCTTTGGATTAAAGGGAAAAGAAAAAAAAAAAAAGGCTCTGCCTGGCACAGCTGCAATGGAAATTCCACTGTGGCTGTGGAAAACCTCCAGGCCAAACCTCCAGGTTCCCAGACACCAGCTCCGCGCAGCTGCAACCAACACCATTGCATGTTATTACCCTGCACGACTTTGTTGTCGACGTCACTTGTCGCAAGTCCTGTCCTTCAGTGTCGTCAGTAACGGTCGGATCTGCATGCTGCTTCACGTTTTTTCTCAGTCGTTTGGACTTACACTGAATTTCAGTTAACAGACCTGGAAAACAAACACAGGGACGTCAAGGATTGCAGAAAAGTCCTGCTCAGTGTGTGGTCACGAACAGCCCATGTGCAGCCAGTTCAGAAAACTCCTTGTGCAATTTCTAATGTTTTTTTTTTAAAAGGGAACCAAGGTTTAATGATTGACTAAGAGAATCTTCACCTCTGTGCTCTCAGCATCTTCATTTGTAAAGTGGAAATAACGCCTATCTCATTGACTTTTAAATGGACTCATCACTTTTCTAAAAATTAGCTTCACATCAAGAATCTCTGACACTAAAGCATTATTGCAGACCAAGATATTAAGTCAATGAAAGGATAAAAAGCAGTCTTCCAATTCCTGGGTTTAGAGGACTTTGAAAGATAGTATTTCAAAGATTTTCACCCCTGTTTACATTCTGTGCCATCAAAAGTAATGCATAATTAAATTGGTTATACTAGCATGTTTTAGGGTTGCGTTTTAAAATGTGTTATCTGAGCTAAAGAAGCCATTGAGAATATAGCTAAAGACAAGCATAATTCAAGACGATTTTGACATTTTTTTGGCATGTACAATAGTATCATTAATTCATGCTTAAACTGTTACAAATAATGCAAAAATAACCTTCTATATTTAATTTCCTTGTTCTCCTGATGCTAATGACAAAGTTCCAGGAATTTCTTTGTGCAGAGAAATTTTTTTCATAGACTATGAAAGGTCAGCATCTTTTTCCTGGAAGGCTTTGGGGGGGAGTATTAGTAATATTCTCTGCCTTTCCACATGGGCGTATGCCCAATGCCCCCAGGGCACCGGCTGGAATCAGATCATATTTAAGTGATGAGCAACATGAGCCACAGCACCCCCACGCTTCCATTGTGAGATTGGATGCCAGCAGCGGTCCTCGTGGTTCTCGTTTCATGTCTGCTAGGACAAGATTGTGATCAGCCACTCTAAAACTTTCATCTACCCAGAACTGGATTATTTACCCAGATCTGTTTTTCTCCCTTCTGCATGTATTATTTCTCTGGGTACATCCCAGTAGCCTTTACAGTTCGGGAACAATAGGACGGGAGTCACCTTCCAAAGGCTTTTATTCCTTGTGACATTCCTTCCCTGACTGTGATCATCCCCCGGGTGACTTTTGTTTGTCTATTTGTGTTTTGAGGAGGAGCGGATCTCAAAGTCTGAGCAGTCCTTAGAATCTGCATTTTGAAAAATTAATTATGTTATAGACTAGCATGCTTCTACAATTTTTTTTTGTTGTAGATTAGGATTCCTCACAAAGTCAGCAGTTAATATAGTGTCTCTTTATCAGATCAAAGAGCAAAATTATATTAAAACTCAGAGTAGTTAATTTCCTGTGTAGAGCACTACAAATTGGCTCAAAGCTCCTCTAAGACAAGACGGATTCTTAATAAAATGAGTCAGTTTAAAACTCTATCTAGGCAATTCAGAGTCAGTTATACCTTATAAAACAGTCTTTTTTTTTTCTGCAACTGTAAGTTACTATGGTAATGACATACTAAATAAGAAACACACTAAAATCAAATTTTGAAAAAAAACTTTAGCTAAAGTATGTTACTTAACTATGTGTTAGTGCCACTTCACTGCAACAAAAAACAACAACAATAACAAAAGAAAAAAAAAAAGCAACTGGTTCTTCCAAGCAAATCCAGTGCTCCTGAATTGATTGATGGTCTGGGCACCATCAGTGACTCATTGCTCGCTGAGCCCAGAAGATCCCTTCCTTAAAGCACTCAGTGCCCTCCTCTGGTGGGAATTACCTGGCATCTGCCTCCTTAAGAGATTTTTAGTGGAATTTAGTTGTTTGGAGTGAATACCTGTATACATACATTCAGCCAACATTCCCATCTCTTTGCACTTCCTTAGTCGACATTCTTGGCACTTCCTCCGCATGTACATGTCCATCACGCAGTTGCCTCCGTTCTTACACTTGTACACTGCGTTTTTGGTAATGCTTCTCCTGAAGAAACCTGGGGAGGAAACACTGAGAGTGTAAAATGGCCCTGGGAACTTCTCAGGAAGACACACTTAGACGGAGAGATGTCAGGTTGTTTTTCCCTGAACCACTTCAGAGTATCTGTGCACTTTGGTTATAGTGGTAGCAAATGGAACTTTGAAATACATTGCGTAATAGAAAAGGCTACAGCTTCTATCTCTCAAAAAGAACTGCAAATCTGAATTATAGCCCCTCCTAGAGAGAAAAGAGAAACTTTCATGTATCTTTTAGGGGTTCAGTTTCGTGGTAGTAAGTTGTTAGATGCTGGTGTTGGAAAGTCCACTTATTCTCTCCTGTCCTCCCAGATTTAAAAGTTGTTTGAAGGCAAAGACATCCAAATGACTAACCAAGTGAAATTAAGAGTTGCATGGGTTCTTTCCTTTTTTGAGGAATTATTTATTCAAAATATACAGTGACACCAACAAGAGAGAAATATCTGTTATATTCTGCTTCTCTCTGGAAATGGCCACAACAGTCAAAGCTGGAGGAGGAAGCCAAGCACTCCATTTGAGTTCCCGACATGGATGACAGGAATTCAGGTTCTCAGGTCATCTTCTGTTGCTTCCTAAATGTGTTAGCAGGACGGTGGGTGGAAAGCGAGGCAGGGCTCGATTCCAGGCACTTAGAAATGGGATGCAGGCATCCCAAATGGTGCCTTAACTCACTGCACTCAACTGCTCATCTTCACATGAGTTTTGATGGGCAGCTGTCTTGGGGCAGAACAGACACAGAGAAGGTCTGTTTGGGATAAAACATCAGGAAAAAAGGCAAACATTGAGGTAAGCCTTGGAATATTTGTAGCTATTTACCAAACATTCTGAGATAAAGTCACATTCAAGGTTTCTATTCAGCACTTACTATGCCAGTCTAGTGTCCTAATACAAATGCCCACTTTGACTTAAAAGCAGAGTCCAGGAAGGTCATGCAGTCTGTGAAGGAAGTGATGCCTCCTTCCTCCTTTCCTTTTTCCCATGTTCCAGACCCACTTCTACTCCTTCTCCCCGACCTGGCTCACTGTGGTTCCCAACACTTCTAGAGGCAAGAGGGGAGAGGATTGTGAAAAGCAATGGAGGAGGGAACAGGGAAGCCCTTCTTTGCTTTACAATGGTTCCCTTATTATCCAGTTTCACTTTCCTTAGTCTTGGTGACTAAAGCCAACTGCATTATAAACATGTTGATGGGATGTCACATTTAGCCTAGCAGTTCAGCTGTCCAAGTCCTCTGTTGAAGTACTAGGGTTTAATATCCAGCTCCAGAACCTGGCAAATGGCTGGGTTCTTGCCAGCTGAGAGAACTGAATTGAGCTTCTGATTTTAGGCCGAGTCAAGATGTGAACTAATGGATAGGAGTTTCTCTCTCTTCTTTTCTCCCTCTTCTTTTCTCTCACTTTTCTCTCTCTTAAATAGAATGATATGAAAATATACCACAAATTCCAGAGATAAATAATTCATGAAGTTTAAATAATTCATGGAGTTTATTACTGTGAATGTAGTCAGGAAATCTCATACCATCTTGCTCTGTTCTATCAAGAACTGAATTATCCCTTTGTCCTGGGTATCTGTTCTGCGTATCCCACCCACCCTATGTGTTTGAGACAAAGAGATCACAGTCGCACAATTTTGATTATAGTGCTTTGTTATGATGGATCTATGTTGTTATTGCTGTTCATTTCTTGCTGTACCTAATTTAGAAAAAACTCTATTGTAAGCACATATGTTTATGTGGAAAAAGTACCAGTACTACGTATGGTTGTAGACATACACTGGTGGGGGTCTTAGAGAACATGGTCACCATTGGTAAAGAGAGCTCAGGGTGTGACTGTAAGCTGGGTTGTGCTTTGTAGCTTTTGAAGCAGCTTTTCTTTTGCCTCTGATTCGTGCTATAACTGCTCTCATCACTGCGAGACTCATCTGCACTCTGTGTGTGAGAGTAAATATGTTCTTGTTCTATCCCATGGTGTGTTGTGTAACTCTTTCATCTAGAAATGGAGCATTCACACCAAACTTTGAACATGGATGTTTCTACATATGATCCCAAAGGTGTGGCCTTAAGATCATTCCATGTTGGCTTTATTTGGTTCAATAAACCCCAACCCACGGGACAGAGGAATTCCTCCTATAAGCAGTTGGCCACCCTATTTTTGGTCTTTCAATTATCTTCATACCTTTGATAAAATTGAGAATATAAGTGTCCTTCCTGTTTTAATAGTGATAAAATAGTCTAATATTTGTTAAGTACTTACTTGCTATTGTTCTAGACTCTTTACCTCCATTGAGTTGTTCAATACATATGTTTTATAATGAAAATTATATTGCATATCTCTATTTCTAGATGAAGAATAAAAGGTTCAGAGAGGTTAAATCACTGGGCTCTCATCACATAGTTAATAAGTGACCTAAGATAATCCAAATCCAGCAGTCATGCCCTGAAGTCTGTTCTCTGTATTCATTTTGCTACACTTGCATCCACAAGTCACCTTCTATCTGAAAGTTACATTATCTGACTTGGGAAATCCAAAGATGAATAAAACATTTTTTATCTTCATAGCTTCCAACTTAGCAGAAAAACAAAGAATAAATTCACAATATAATTTAAGATAGTGTGATAGAATAGCTAGATAACTCATAAATTTCAGAATCGCACTATGTGTTGGTAAAAGTAATGACACACTTAAAGAGGAGGGGCAGCAATGGCTTTGAAGACAGGGAGATTAGCATGATGGTACTTTTCTAGTAGATGGCAAGAAATCATCAAATAACATAAGTAAAACATGATGATTTCCCAACAGCTCGAAGTCAGTTGTCTTGTGGCTAAAGTATTATATGGATTGGGTATCACTGATTAATTCAGACTCAGGAAGAGGTCTGTGAAAGAAGCAGAATTTAAGCAGGGGTTTGGATGAGCAGCAGGATTTTTGGAAGACCCCGTGAAAATAAGCAAAGTAAAGGGTTATACATATGGATAATCCATCTTGGTAAGAGGGTAGAGTTAGGAGAATTAGTTGGAGATTGGTAAAGGGATATAGTGACAACGGTCTGTGTTTGAATATGTTTGAATGACAAGCAAAGGAACTGAACCCTTCCTTCCAAGGCAGGGAGAGAAGCCACTCAAAGGTTCTACCAGGGAGGTTGCAATTTAACTTGCACCTTGGGAAGAAACCTTGGAGCTAAATGAAGAAAGGAAGACTAGGAGACTGGACACAGAAAATTGTGTCCTAAGTCCTCAATATATCTAACACAACCATTGTCTGAATTAGACCAGGAGAGAACAGAGAGGAGGAAGTGAGAAAGACACTCAGATCTTGATAACCTGCCAAACACAAAAGACACAGGCTGAAGGAAAAGTTTAAAGACGTCAGAAGCAATGAAGTCATGGTCTTGCTTGTAAATTTATCAGCTGGCACAAATCTCAGTGAGAAAGATCTTTACGTTTTCTACATGTCAAATCTAGGCAAGGTCTAAGAAGGACGTTAGGCTTCAGATTGTGTTGATATTGAGAGTGTAAACACCAGAGTATGTATTTTAAATGAGACTAAAAGTGGAAAGAAATCTATTTCCTGGAACCAAACCGTGAACTCAGTGAACACATTAGCCTTTATAAATTAAGTCTCCTTATTCATCTCCAGCTCCTCCTAGAACTGATTCCCTTTCAAATTGCCACAGCCAGTGACTGGCAGCTCAATAGGCAATAGAATAAAAGTGCTTATTCCAAGATGAATCAAAGGAATGATGCATAGAACAATTCGGCATGCCTTTTTTTTTTTTTTGAACTGTGGTAGTAACTGAAAAAGAAATCATTATCATTTCAATGGCTGAATTAATTAGCTTTCATTCTGAGATGGCAACACAATATTATCCTTGCATCATTTAAGTAGTGGTTCATATACTGTATTTATATTTATGCAAATATGTCCATACACTGACTACTCTTTCTATTTTGCTCCTTCTGGCACAAATCTAACAATGCTCATATCAGAAAGCCATTTGAAAATGAATGCAAAGGAAATTCACTAAGGAATAGAGCCTTACTGGCAATAAAAGATGGGTAGACGGGTTGCCGTTGCCATGTAGGGAATGTGCAGACTGGGGAGACATCCTTAGGTAGCAGACAAATAGCTGTGGGATGACATAAAGAGATCCCTCCACCCTGCAGAATATCACACACTGCTTTCTACTTTTCTGCTTTTCTACCTCAATACAAAGGTGGAACGCATATGCTGCACCCTATTCCCATTAAACAAACATGCTCATGCCAGCCTACAATGACTGACACTGGTACCTTGCCCTAAATTCTAAAAGAATGGTTGACAATTTTTTTTTAAGATTAATGATTTCCAAGCATTTTAAGCAGCAACAAACACACAGAGCTGAGTAACCAGAGAATTTACCTTCCCATAACCCAGAGATACCTTTTATTTGTGATAAACACTATTCTAAACACTTTAAATAGAGCAGTTTATTTAATTTTCATAATAATCTAATGGAATAGATACTGTTATGATCTCTTCTGGAAAATGGGAGTTGCTCAAGATTTTATAGATAATAAGTGGTAGAGCTCAGATTTGAACCTGATTCTGACTTTCTGCTCTTAACCACCACACTACATGGTCTTCCAGGAAAGAGTTCAAGTTTCTGAAAATGGTCTCAAGATATGAATCTCCCTAAGTCTTGCACAGCATGGCAGGTGCCCAGGTGATAACAAAGAATCATTACTTTTTGTAATTTGTTTGAGGTTTTAAATGACTCTTTGCAATACTCTTAAGAATGTCAAGGTGAATATATACTGTATTGTTTATTCATGGGTGCTTTGTTCTTACTTCTTATGCTTTCTCATTTTCTTTTCCATCTGAAGAAAGGTATTCATCTTTTCATGTTCACTTACTGAGATAAAGCTAAGGTTGCCTCTCTGAAACTAAAGATAAACTCTTGCATATATCTTTTGTTTTCAAAACCTCATTGAAAGGGTTTTTACCAG